CTGTCAATGAACCATCGTTTAAGGGCACCTGTTTTTTACTCTTTTCTATCGGCGCTCTAACGGTACCGCGTTGCCATTATCATATTTTTGACGCTCGTAATGGCCGATTTGTAATAACGTGTATCTCAGAATAAATAGAGAATCTTATTCGGCCGAGACTAATGATCTGGACGATTAGAGTCTTACTTTACTCGTGATCTGAATTCATTGCTCCGCAGATATTTTAGTATGTTGCCACGCTAACATGAATAAGATTAAACGTATAGGAAACAAAACTGATTTGCTAGTGTTACGACCAGCTTGACTTGTAGTGTCGTATGATTTAAACATTTTCTGATCGATCACGATGTTCAACAAATGCCATTGACGCGTGCCTTATTAATTTATGATATGGACCGAAGCAAAGATTTTCTGGTACCGTGCATCAACAGGTGGCACGTATTTCTATTTTCTTTTCTTCATTTTACGAGATACATTTCGCACCGATATATCCGCCACTGATACTTGGATCGTGTTTCTATAGATTTCACCTCCGATAATATCATTATAATGCTCCTCTCTGTATGTACAGTCTCTGTAATCGTGTACATCCGAAAGTGTATTCGATTGCAACTCGGATATCAATAAATTGTGTACGCTGTTCCTGATATTTGTATTTGGTGATGTCAAACGCAAGTAAAAGACTGGCAGATTGTGCGAAATAATTAGGGTTTTCGTGTTAGTATTATAAGTTTCCCAACACAGTTCACAGTCTAGACAATGGAGCATTGCATTTGAAAGTTTATTGAAATATTAATGGATCCCAATTGTCTTCTGTACGATATTTAAGTAGGATCCGAACGCAATTTCAGTGACCCTTGTAACGAGCATATTGTCCAGAAGTTGAATGGAATAGTGGAAAGTGAGTTGTCTTGATTAACCACAGAACCACGTAAACAGTTAATTTAAATCAACAGTCAAGAAGGAAGCATAGGAAGAAAGCTGATGAGACAACCTAAGGAACTTCGCATAGGAGCCAAATCAAAGACGAAGCTAAATAAGCAAGCTATAGAAACAAAGTATGGTAGCAACAAACAAGATCCCTAACGAAAATAATAGATATCTTCTTCGATAATGAAGCAACAAGATTACTTGTACGATGACCTAATCTCGTGAGTCACTCGAGACGTTTCAATTTTCATTACATCGTTGAAACTTTCCTTTCACCGCTATTTTGACAGTTCTCGTTTAAGTTTAAAACGAAAAAAAAGAAGAAGCGGCCGTTTTCGTCGGCGAGCTGGTCGTTTCTTGCGCGCGGGCAAAACAACCTCGAACGCGGCTAATGGGCCGAGCTCACGTCGCGGCTCGCTTAACGATCAAGTTCGATTTCTCTTGGCCGCCGCGCCGCATCGCGCGTATGGTGAAAACTCTGTGTACGTACAATCGGGTGACGTCGAAAATTATTGTCGCTTAAACTCGATACGTGAACGGACCACCTCCGGGCAGAAGCCTCTAAGCGTCTAATCATTAAACAGTCTCAATCGACTTGTCGAAAAACGTGAATGGAATCGATGAAATCTTGGTAACAGTTTTAGTATACTTCGTTCTCTCATTGGAAGCTTCAAGGGTTTTAATACAAGTTATTATGCACATTGAAAACATTAATTTGTTTAATTCAAACATTTCTGTATCTTAAGTAGAACGGATGAACATGCAGATCCAACAATATTAAACGAATTAATTTGTGATATGTAGATGATCTATGATACGTACTATCGTACAGATTATGCATAGTACCATGCAATAGATACAGCGATTTAAATCTTAGAAAAATATTGTTTCTGATTGGTGGAACAGGTGAGAAAATTGCCTCTTATTAGTATAATATCGGCGTTAGGATCAATGGTACCACAGCATCGCGCGTTTAGCATTATTACTATAATCTGTACAATAACTGTACTCGGTACTGTTACCACTATTCCATCGTTTCCGTCGTCCATTATCCAAACTGCGATTCGAAATGATCCACAAAATCAAGGATCGTCGTCACCTCATTATCATACATCCCAAACGCGATTATTCCAATAACTCCGATTGTATGCAGCAATACAGGGTTCGATTCGTTTATCAGTATTCTACTAGGAAGTAATCGAGGTACTCTACAGAAACTATTTCTTTCGTTTTTTTGGTATACAAACACGCTTGAGCGAAAGGGTTCTATTGAATATACGGCTGATTGGATGCTTTGATTGAGGATTTAACGGCATAGAAGAGGCAACGATCCGAATTTTTACTACTATCTGGATTTCAGTTTTTAATCTACGATCCGAAGGTACATATATACAAAATATTTAAAGACAGTTCTTTATTCTAAAAATATGTTGTTTCTATTAAAACTATTTTGTTTTTAATCTACTCTACTCTCTCAATTACACATCGGATCCTTCTTGTATCAGCTTTTACAGACTATTTTATCACTCCAATAATTAATGAGAAATAATAATTGAATCTCTTCCCTGTTCTACCATGTCTCACGGAAAGAAAAAAAGAGAGAGAGAGAGAGAGAGAGAGAGAAAGAGAGAAAGAGAGCAGAGCGCGTGGATGTCTAGAGATATCAAACTGTGCTGGAGTCAAGCGCGGTGTGTTCTCTCGTGCTCCTCGTGCTGGTGGGACCTTGTTTCATGACCCACATAAAGCAAGGCCGTTAACACTACTCACGGGCTCGCGCGAGTATAGGTGCTGGGCCCCACGGAGGAGCTACTCGCCGCTCTATGGGACCCCAGTTGCCCCCTCTACAAACCTCAGGCCCCACGACGACGTACCGATATACACTCCACTTCATAAGTCACACTTTTTAGTAAACTGTTCATTGATTATGAGATCAAACGTTGAACGAATTACCACAGAGCTATCTCAATTATAAATGTGATGTAGGAATTTGGAAAAATGATGTGTGGAAAGTTCGAAATATATCTGAACATCTGAAATTTGGTATTCTTTTTATGATTTATCTGGCTTGAGACTTGTTCCCAGTTTGTTGTACTTCAAGAATGAAATAATTAATATCGTAATTAAAGATCTGCAGATTTTGCCAGTTGATCATAAAATCTCAATTCGATTCATTTAATTTTGTTACTTTATCAAATCCCACATGTAATTTCTGAAAAGGAATGTACGGTACCTGCATGTGCCTGCATGTATGTACCTGTATGTATCTCCGCATTACCATACAGCACGCGTGTGTGTATGTATCAAAAAAGATGGACCTGTTGGTATGCGTAAAACAAGTGAACCCGTGTATGCATTACATATATTCGTGGAAACGGGAGAGCTCGAGAGTCTGTGTTTGTTATACTCGTTAAGAGTCGCATCGTGGATAATACTTAATAGTTTCCTACGCGTACCCGCGAATCTGTACTAATTAACACTTTCGGGACCGATATTCTCCTCTGTGCAAAATTTCTAATAGTTCACGGCAGTTCTTAAATCCTGCACGAGGAAACCGATGTGACTGCTGTTCGACGGAGCTACAAATGCGTAAATCGAAAATTGGTGAGGAAAAAAAAGGTTCTGGGTCCTGTCGAATTGCACTTACATACGTACGTATTTTATAGCGCGAGCTGAATATCCTTGTACGCTTGTGTGTAAAGTCGCTGGACAAGTTAGTAGGTCAGGCGAACGCTCGTGTGAGCACACACACGGATATATTAGTATTATCGTATCTCCGCCTCGTGGAGAACCGTGGCTTCGAACGAGGCTTCGTTCCGTGGTACATACCTTGATCTTGACTGGATGCAAGGTCCATTTCGCTGTCGTCGCACATTCAACATGCCATTGCTCCTATCTGCTTTCGCATCGCGGTCGCGCGTGAAACAAGCTTTTCTCACGCCGCCGCTCGTAAATCAGTATGCCTTCGATGATGCGATCGCGAATTGTTCATTAGAAAATTGCATTTCTTTTCGATGTGCAGAATTAAAACTTGTGATTAAAAAAAGAATTGATAAGTTTTATATCAAATTGTCCATACTGATTCGTTAAATCAGTTTGTTAACGTACTAAGAAATATGTGATTTTTCTTAATTCGACTCTGCCTCAGCAAAGATCAATTGATATTTTTATGAGAAATATATTGTATGAAGAAGTATTTTGTAAAAAATAAATTACCATTATCCAAGAACAATTCAGTATTAATTTTTGACTGAACTATCTAGCTTGTTTCACTACACACAACCCCTTATTAATTCAAATCATTAATTTCGAATCGGAAGCACATCCAATGCCATCTGACGGGAACGTTCTCTACTATGCGAAGTAAAATCACGGACTCCGGAAATTCTAAACGCAGTGAAATATGCATGAATTCGCCATGCAACGGAATCGATCTCTTACTCGTTAGTCACACCTGTCAAAATCTGGCTCGCGTTCAACCACGCTCATCAGCGGTCTTCCTACTCATCCCTATATCCGCTTTTGCGTTCAAGCAGATGCCGCCGCGAAGGCCAATATTTGAATAAATGATTCCTCGTACCGCGCGAAGAATATTCAAATCAAATGAAAAACATTGCCGCATTTTCAGATACAACTATTGAGTGGCCTTTTTATCAGCAAACATTTTTGCTACTCGATAGTCCATAACGATTATGCAAATCACTAAAAAGCATTAGCTCGTGGCATGAGTAAGTTGTCAACAAGCTGTTTCTTCTACGTTCTCATGAATCTTGATTCATTTGTATGAAATTAGCTTGAAGTTGAGCCAGTAGATTGATAAGATCATCCGAGTTAAAGAAGGCAGCCCGTGAGGTTGCCCGCAGAGAGATTCCTATCCTATTGATTGACCTGAATCCAGGACGAGGGGCATGCACCCTAGAGTGTCGTGATTCGCGTTTTCAGCTGGTTTTGCACGCGAACCGTAATTATCGAGCGATTCGTACTGGTCATGTTACTCACCCTGATTTTTCGAGCTTAAACAAGGCTCCCATAATTTCTGGGTTACTAACGCTCTTAGAAAGGATAAACGGAACTTTATTCCATTTTTTTTTTTATTGGTCTTTCAACATTTCTTGTACAGCGATGGTGACAATATCTCGAATACTTCTCGTCTCGTGGCGACTAATTGTGGCATGCGTTTTCGTTACTAATACATTTTCAGACATCCATATACGTGCGTTCAGTCCAGATTATTCATTAGAAAATTAAAGCTCTATACTAGACAATGTTCGTATGTAGAGGATAGTGATTGTTGTAGAAAAATTGCGCTGGGGTATAATATGGCACGTTCTTATTTAACATCTTCCTCACTATTCAATAACTGTTTCTTCAAATTATATCTCAATTTATGAGGAAAGAGTTAAGAACCGTGTACGACTAATTTATACGCGTCAGACCTAAATTTCTCGATAAATATTTGATAAATGAAACATCTGCAATTAACGCAGGGTAGAATTTAATCGAGTTTTTGATGAGTATGAAATGCGCGAATTTGAGAACTATCATATATTTTGCTAGGAACACCTTACATACTGAAGGATCAATGTGAAATGTAACCAGTGATGATTTTGCGGTCACGATTATCAATCCTTATTTTCAACAGTTGCTAACATATATGCGTGATCATTTTTATTGAATCTACTTTGTGCAAACACCCAACGATCGACCATCGAGATAACATTTTCAACATCATATATAACTGATTTTAATCCTAAATGAAACAATAAATCGAAGCACACTCATTCGATTTCCTCACCACACCGTAACAGTATAAGTACACACTCTAATCGGAAATAATTGCACCATGCTTAATGTCAAGAGTAGCTAACACTCGATTTAATTATCCTTAGAATTAGTATACTGATGCGATTTAACCATCGATCCGACTTTCCAGCTTGAAAATTATCCGATTCTTCACGAAAAATCGTTTGATTCTTAACAATCATAATTGCATCACCCGCAATTTTATCAGTAATCTACTTCGTATCAGTTGAGTCGACCATGTAATCCACGAACGAAACGAACGCGCGTATATTTCATACGTGACACGACTCATATTTTGTAACAAAGAAATACATCGAAACTAGTAGAATTTTGGAAAAGTAAGTTTTTGTTCTTACCTATAATTTAAAGATCCCTGCTACAGATCTTCGAATTTTCTATCAGAATTTTCGATAACAGCGCATTTACCAAATCTCTTCAGGGTGACAAAGAAAATTTGATTCTTGAGTTCGCATCGTTTCTAAGCGAGTCGCGCGATATACTTGAACATTTTCAAGTACTCCGTAAACTCTCTTCCATTTCAGAATTGTCTAACAACGTTTACGAGTCTAGCATACGTGTTGTAAAAGTCGGCTTGTCGTTTGCCGACTTCAAACCGTCGAAGATCAGGAAAACATGTGGGATCTCTACAGATCCAAGAATCTTCGAATTCTTTTGTTGTATTCCGACAAGTTTTCACACGATGACACCTTGCTGTGCGAGCAACTGCTTTCTCTGATGAAGACTGGGCGACTCGACGTCAATTTCAATAGCGTCGAACGACTTGGAGGTCTTCATATTATTCAAAGCCTTCATACAATTATTCGTGGTCATCTCGAGAGACTTTGAACTCTTCAGGGACGCGTTTGCTAGCTTTTTGATCGTTTCCGATATGGGACACTTGATGAAATCGGTTCTCTCCTCTTTGATCCTTTGATCATCTTCCTCGCTCTCTTCTTCCTCCTCTTCCGTCTTCATTTCTTTGGAATCTTCTTGTTTCTTCAGACTCTCCGATCCTCTCAGAACATTTGCCGATTCAGTCTGACCTTTATTGGTCTCCTCGTCCTCTTTGCGATCATCTTGACCTAATAGAGACTTCGGCGGTGCTTCAACGTAGCCGCTCTCATCGCTGTCCACCTCCTCGTCGAGGGAATCCAAGGTTAAGAACGGTGATTCGTCGTTTTGCATTAGCTCGTGGCTCATTCTTCTCGGGTATTTCTCCATTACTCTTCTCTCTCGGTCCTGCTCGTCCAGCCTGCATAGAATCTCGCCTCTTGGTCGATAGTCCACCACATCGTCGAAGTCCTCGACATCCTCGAAGTCGAAGACGTGCGACGCTTGATCCTCCATTTCTTCGTCCTCCTCTTCCATCGATTCGTCTTCCTCGTTCCTCGAAACGAACCTCTTGCAACCGGTCACCATATCTCGACGGTGAAAACGAGGACTCCCGGCGCAGGTCATGAAGTTTGGGGACCCTTCAGAATTCCTCCGTGGTCCCGGGCCTCGCACAATGTCATCAGAGAACATGACTCTTCTTCCTGGTCGTTGCTCCCTTGCATCGCCTGCAATTTTTAATCGTACACACATTTGTAGAATTTTTTTTTAATATAAAATTGTTGTGTGCAGTATGTCTACATGTGTAGTCTTTACAGTCTGTATGCAAATTACTTTGCACTCTAATGAATAGAATGATCGAAAGGTTTATTTTGAATAATGCATCAGACATTGATCAATGTGTTATTGTTATAATTGTTCGAGATTCATTTTTTTACATTAACTCGTAACTATTGAAATAAATATAAAACAATGATTGAATTTTATATATTTGTCGAAAAGCTACAAGTTTGCAGATGATATGAAAAATGGGTGGACAAAAATATGCAGAATATCAAAAGATAATTGTATTTTGCGATGTTTAAACTATATAATAAATGATTTATTTTGCATAAAAATCTGTTGTGTAATGCTAACCTGTGGCGTGGTGATCCTCGGGTCCGGGAGCCCTTTCCTCGCTCGTAGCAGTGCTGGCAGTCTCGCATCCGCTCGAGATGCTTCCGTTTTCGTCGGAAGACTCTCGATTCAGAGCGTCTAACAATCGTGCTAGCCTCCAGCTATCTTGATATTGCCAACTGCGCGCCACGTTCTCCAATGTCCTCAACTCCTCTAGGATTCTCTGCTGTTCTATCTCTTCGGCCGCGATGTCTTCTTCGATCGCTGAGAGTTTCGGTGCGCTTTTCGATCTTTCAAGAGGCGGCCGGTAATTCTGGCCGCCGGTGCTCAAAAGTAACTTCCGTCGCGGTAACGATGGGTTCTCGTACAGAGCGTTTGCTAGAGACAGTCTGAGAACAAACAATTTTTTAAATTTCATACATTTATTTAAACAATTAATTATGATTACATAAATATTCTTATTCCAATTTGTCATACAACTTATCGATCACCGTCTTTTGTATGATGTATTATTAATGTAATTTCTTAAGAAAAAAGAACAGCTTGATTTCCATAAGAAGAATCAGCGAAACACGCGTGGCACAAACGATCGGTTACGACCTGGATCGTGACTCGATCGCGGCGATCGTGATCTACGAACGCGACCCATATTGTCTCTTCACCGAGGGGTCGCGGCCTTACGGTAGCTCGTGCACTTGGCACGAAGGTGCACGCGATTTTCCCTCCGTTATTGAATTCCGGAATCCACTACCCTCGATTTTCTTTATGGTAAACTCATGCGACACAGTTTGGACTTTAACGGACTTTCGCAGGATTTATAGCGAGAGAAACTTGTAAGAACAGCTCAAGCATTTCAAGTATATACTATCTTATTTTTAGTGTTAAAGAAATCAGCATGAACGTAAAATTTACGATGCTATTTAATTTAATTCAAGAATAAAACAAGCTTCCAATTAGAGAGTAATTTAATAATGTGCTCATAAAACTTTCGCCTAGCAGTAATCATACGTAACACCTATAAGAATATATGCTCGTCACTACGTGGACTTCCTTTCCTATTTATAATGTATAATGTAGAAGGTGAGCAAATAAGTAACATCATTTAAAAGTAAAAATAAAGGCTATCACATTTTAATTCGTTAAAATACTCTTCAACGTATAACGAATTCGTGCAGAATATGTTGTGATAAAATCATTAAATCTCAAGTCAAGGACTCACTCTATAAAATTCTGAATGCACGCAAAGGTTATACACGCGACGTATTAGCTTACCTAGCATTTTGTCTGGAGACCTTGTCCCGTCGGAATTCCAGGAGCGCCTGCTGCAGCCTGGCGTTCAAGGTCGAGGCCAGCCTCCTGGCAGTGGACTCCTTGCTGCAGAGGGCAGCGTGACACCTGAGCTCGGGTCTCAGCCTCCGTCCCTCGTGCCGGTACACCCAGACGAAGAGGCGCGGGTGGGACGCCGGTGCCGTACAGTAGGTGACCCTGTGCGCCCAGTACTCCGTCAAACCGTGGTCCTTCGTCGTCGCGGTCAGTCCGCCGTTCGTCACCGTCAACCTCATCGTCACGTCCGGTCGGCTGCTGGTAACGTAATTGCGCCAGAGCGTCGACACTGGCTTCTCGACGCAACCCTCGCCTGTAAATTTAATCAAGTGTTTTTCTCTTGTCACTAAATCACAGTCGAGTCGTAAATTGCTTTGGTCTTATTCAGAGGATTGGAAAATAAATTGATATAGGAATTTCGTGGGACAACTCTGCATTGCAGCAGAATTTCTGTCTGACTGAAGCGTGATCACACTACTTGCTGCAATTTTTAATACGAATACGTAATATCTTCGTACTGTTACGTTCCTCTAACGTTACTGTTACTGTTACCGTACGGTATTATTATTCAATGTCTTTGTTACACTGTTATTAAGGCTGCCATCAGCGAGTAACAACAATCAAGAGAAGAGCGTACACGTGTACAATTACACCAGATCGGGACACACAATTGCACGGTATGTAATACTTATTACTTGTATTACAGTGCCAGATACAAAGTGGCTCTTTCCAGCGTTACAATCGAGACATTTCAATAGGAAAGTAACTACGTTCATTAAATTGAAAATGTACTTTATTTAGGGAACGTACAATATACTGTTCATAAAAAGTAAATGACTCGTAGATGTTAACTGTTTATATTTAAAGTATGTTAATGTTTCTGGGTCTGACATTAGCAGTGGATGGTAGCAGGCATTCCAGATTGGATATACGCGTGGAATACACAGGTGGAACTAAATCGAGGGACAGGCATATCCTGACCTTCGATACAGTTCGATTCCCCGTTCTCTCGGTCAGCTTGGATCGCGTTACCAATTTAGAGATACAGGAAACGCGGGTACAGTTAACTTTGCAGTTGGAAAACGATGGAAGGGCGAGAAGGAGAAAAGAGCTGCGAGCTGCGATTAAACGAAGACGACAGGGTGCTAGTATCAGGTGAACGTTATTACGTCGTGGAAAGCGCGGCCCCGTGGGAATTTCAACTGAATTTAATGGGAATTTTCACATTACCGTTCGCTCGTGCACGCGTAGATATGCACATACAGAAAATGAAAGATCAACGAATAGGAATCTCAAATCAGAATTACAATTACTGTCTAATTGTGAGTCTGACGCTTGGGTAGAAGTATTGAAAAGTAATTTAGATACAGACTAATTCATTTGCAATTCGAATGATGAGATTAACTTACAAGACCATGAATAATAAGATTACTCTTCCAATACTGTAATTTATAAATATGTATTTCCTAATTGAAATCGTCTGCGAATTAAATTGATAATTAGATCAAATTCCAAAAACGATAATTAATTGATGGTGTGTCGAGATTTATAAAAGAAACAGGAAGATGATATACATATGAATTGTAATGAGCAGTAATACTGCATTTCGATCCTTGAATATCTTTTGAAATAATTCTGGTCCCAATGCTCTAATATCTCTGGATTTTAATCAAGCAAAAATGCTCCGTGACAGAAAGTCGATATGTTTTAAAGAGAAAAAATGGATAAAACTTTTTCTAACGGGTTTCATCAATAATCCATAGAAAAGGAAAACGGATATAATGATGTCGTTTTCTTCTGCTCGTTAAATTTCAAATAAAATTGTGATCGACATTATTATTACATAAAAAAGACCTGCTTTCACCCTTACGTAAAATACCGCTTTCACGTCACTTAATAAACCCATCAAAAAGTACTTACAGTTGTAATGTCAATGATGAAAACTCAAAGTATAAAGTTATCTTTGGAAATTATTAATATCATACTCTGTATAAAAAAATTAATTCTCTTCTACTATGACCAATCGATTAACACTACAAACGTTACCAGACTTTAATCCGATTCTAACCACCTTTAAATGTTCGAAATTGAAATATTTCCAATGAAAGGAAGGGGATATTCGATCAGCTTAGTACTCGATTACTCTCGTTCGTATTTCACTCGTTTGAAAAGCGGCGGAACGGTTAAAGGATCCCCTTGATCGCAAATGCGAATTTCAACTTCGAAACAATTACGGTACTAAAATTCAGGTTTCACAATTAAACTCAATTTGCGGTGTAGAGTTTCAGACTTCCCGTAAACGCTTGCTGGATTCCGATCGGAAGCGAATAAATAATGACCTTTCGGAATTGAATATCACTTCACAATTAAATGGAACTAAATTAATTGAATGGAATTAAATTGAAATGACATCTCCCACGATCGGTTCTGCTTTAGAAAAATCGAATTTTGTTTTCCCATAATAACAAAAAATACGAGAGGGCGTTCGACAATTCTACTATTTAAAATGTAGACAGAAAAAATTTTAAGCGCATAATGCTCGATTAGAAATCGTGACTTATGAATTATGAACTATCCCACTATTGAGACTGAATACAATTGATAAAAGTGAACCGTGCGAAAAGCTGAAAACTTGAAATCGCTCCTGCAATCAGATTAGCAGGACGAGGCAGAATTTATCATTTAACACGTTTTCCATCCATTCTCACACTAGGTATCGATAACATCATTTGTTTACGCTCGTTATGGAAATTTTCGTGTGCTCAAGTGGATAACTCCTGACAGAAAAATTAACTCTCATTACGTTAGATTGCACATGGAATAATACTTCACAGATGAATATTTGCTGAATGCATGAAAAAATGTTCACTTCGGTTTTTATTTATCATCAATCAAAAGCAATGTACATTTATCTTAAACACGTAATAATACTATTTGTTTATTAAAGGCTATAAAAATAACTTCTTTAATTATTAACGTGGATCGTTGATAATAAATTACATAATTAAATAATAATAAATACAATAATAATTAAACTTACATAACATCATAATAACGTCGTACCTTCAAATCAATTGTCATTGAGGTGATCTTGTTATTATAATAATGTAAAAATATGTATTCGCAGTTAATGATCGTTCAGATTCCTCTAATTGACGTGTTACAGCATTATCTTGATCGACGCGTTATTAAATTTTTTCCTCTTCTTGAAGTTCACCAGATCACGCGTATCATAGAAAATCGTTCATAAAAAAGTATTTAATGTATATTAATTGATTTCTGCTCTCAACAAACGAAATTAGTGATTGACGACGAAACCACGTTCGAAGTACTTATAACGTAAAGTGTACATTTCCATTCCAGAGAGTCGATAACAAAAATTGATAATTGATCGATTTACTTTGTACACGAATCGTTTCAGGAAACTAAATCGATTAAATGTTATCAAAAGAGATAATTTCCTCCGAGAAAGTGGACTGAGGTGTCGATAAATTTATTATTGGATTTTTATCAATCGCTTTGTGCTAAAAATAAATAAACATTTTTTTATCTACACGTGGCTTCAGCAATTCAATTGAAATCTTCAATTAATTCCTAAACTAAAGTGTTCTATACAATTTATCTTTTCAATACTTATGTTATGTATTCCGTGGTAAGCAACCTTTCTTGTCGCATAAGTCGCGTAATAATTGTTACGATCGATACTTTTTTTTTACCGATAACCCGTTCAATCATTAACTGAAAATGGTAAACAGTATTTATTGGCCTCTGCGATATAGAAAACTGGATGGAATTATAAATCGTTACTTATACATCTTTTTGTTGTACATATCAAACCATGACCGTGGTGGACAGTATTAAGAAATATAATTTCTGAAATAGTTAAATGGACTCTACTATATTCCAAATAAATGCATAACTTTTGGTCTGTACATCTTTTACTCAATCCTGCGATCTTTAATTAATTAAACTAGTTTTCTAAAGAAAACAGTAGCTCGTGTTGGTTGTACAGTTTTCTCGCGGACTCCAGGAGAAAGCGTCGTCGTTGACAATGATCGTCACGATCGAACGACAGAAACGTGTATCGGAATCGCGAGCGGAAAAACGGACGATCTGGAACGGTGCGGAACAGGAAGCGTTGCGTAGCAGAATGAGAGTATGGTTGCAGGATCGGTGGCATGTAACACGGTCCGTTCGGTATTAGCCAATTAAAACGTAACGCCGACGTGTACATTTTTCTGCCGTTAGACCAGCCAAGTATCGAGTCCATCGAGCTTGACAGAAAACGAGAAACACGCACGGAACAGGATACAAGATTCTCTCCGTTTGATTACCAGTCGCAGGAGATTGGAAAGATTTGATAGAGATTAGCAGCATCTTTTCATTTCAGTGGATTCTATATTATATTGCAAAAGCGATTGTCGAAGTATATCTAATAGTTTAATATCAGTATTTTCATGTACCATGAAATGAGCTATCTTCTGCTTTATGAATTCATTATACCGCCTGCAGTAAAATTTTTGCTTCTCAAAATAAGGATTAATGAACTTACTCTATTATGGCTTTTTTTCTTTTATAGAATGCAATTATTTTGCAAAAAAAAACCCGCAGAATAATTATTACTTATTAAAGTATCTATTATATGGTTCAATGATTGTTTAAGATAACTTCCTTACACGAGTGGCACGTATCATTTAATCCTTGATTTGTACATACAAAGTCAGATACCTGCGTGTCATAGTGATAGATTGTACTCCTTTACTGTGCATGTAAGTGTCACATGATTAAATGGTATTTTCACACCGTCTCCCTACAATTTAATAACGTGACTTTTCCATCAGTTGGATAAGGTATCTTCTAACCCTAATCGATCGTTAAAAAAACTTTCCATGTAACATGTGACATTTAATATGCTTAATGATCCATTAGATGAAGTACAATCTATGTCAAGCATTCACGTACAACGAGCACTGAAATTCCAGTTCTTCGTAGTGAATGAATGATTAATTTTTGATTTATATAGGAAATACTGAGAATGCAAGTAGGCATGACGTAAATACGAGTATCTAAGCACGTAATATGACGTACATACTCGAAATTGAAATTTCAAATTCGGAATTCGTGTACGGAATATGAAAAATATTTATTCAAGGTGTTTAATGCAGTTACATGTTCCAGTGCATGGAATAAAGTAGAAGAGGATTTGGTTAAGCTTAAAGTTTGACTAGTTTATCACGTGATGATCGAAAGGTGTAACAATATATCTAATTTTGAGGAAAGATTGCACAATGAAGAATAACCAGAACATTCTGG